CTGGCAAAGCAGATGCCCGGCAAAGTCCCAGGTGCTGCTGTAACTCAAGCTAAATCTCCAGATAAATTGTGCTGATGATTTAGAAATATAAATGCACCTATTTTCACTACAATGAATGAAAGAAGGCACGAGGCACCTTATGTGTCTTACATGATCCTCTTGTTGCACTGGAATAATAGTCTTCAGCCTGAAATCATTTATAAAAACCTGTTCTCAGTATTTCTTTAGCTTTTGGTTCTCTACACTTGTGCATAGAGGTGAAAATACTTATCCTCATACACCAATACTCCCAACTAGAAAAGAATTTGGCACAGACCACAGTTACTTTACGCAAATCTACATTTTAGTGACCATTTCTCCTATCTGATCTACACATGGAATTCCTTTTGATTTCTGAGGAGGCATCAGATGCTTACATTTCTAGATTATGACATTTTTAGAAGAGAAGCATAGAGGGCCCTGTCAGGACCAATAACTGGTCTGACTGCTGTCCCTATGTCATACAGAGTACCTGGGAGTGGCCTTCAGAGCAGAAACCTCCTTAACAATGGTACTAATAAGGACACACCTGAGGAACAAGCCATTGAAGGAAGCAGTGTGAGATCAGGGCTGGGCACTCATGGCACTTCCTAGGTGGATGAAGGGTTTCAGTGGGCAGGGTCAGTGATGGTCAGTAATCAAATATTTTTTCTTTTCTACAGGATGTCAGGAGTGAACCCTAAGGATGGTAAGAAAAATTTTGATTTAAAGAGAGGCTGAAATGATTAAATAAACCTAGAGTTTCTTCCTACTAACACAGATTTCCATTCTGTCTGCAATGACCACATTCTTTATCATTTCCAGACAAAAATGCAATACTTTATCTTAGTTTATGTGCACTTTTGAAAACAGTAGCTTACAAAAAAAAAAAAAATGACCGCATGAACTCCTCATGGGACTCTAAGTTAAATCTCCCAAAGATTCCTAAATTCCTCTGATTCACACACCATACAAGACACATTCAAGTCTCTCTTGTGATGTGCACTCTTAGGATTTTCTGGATAAGGACCAGTAGAGAGATAAGATGTAACGGCAGTTCCCCCTTTGGAATGTGAAAAAGATCTAGTGAGAAACAACAACCCCCCCGTCATGCAGCTCCTCAGTGTTAGTACTGCTCTGGCCTTTTCCCTAGCTGTCTTTGTTTTTCTCCCTCAACAGCATCTGCAAACATTGGAAGAGTTCGCATCAGCATGGAAGATGATGGAAAACATACTTCTTCTCGTGACAGGAGATACTAGTAAAGACATACTGCATCCCTTCTTGCATATGGCACCATATAGAAGCAGTACAGCCTGCACACTGGCTAATGCTAAAGAGAAATCCCCTTGTACTGCTGCCATATTACAAGAATGTAACCCAAGAATGTGCACCAGCTTGATGGCTGTCCTTAAACTTGCTCTCCTCTTTACCTGCTTGTGTGGCTCTGTGCTCAGAGATGACAAGCTTGTTTTCTGTCTGTAGCTATATAGTTTCCTTACAAAAGAACCTACATAATAAAGCTGCTGTTCTGCTTGTGCAAATACATCCCGCCTATGTTGTTATTTTGAGGTCAGAATGACACTGCCATGCACATGACCATACACACACCCTAACACAGGGCTTCCTGTCACCCCCAAGAGAAGCTTAATGCATAACAACAACAACAACTTTAATAAGAATTATAAAGACGATGATGAACAAACAGATGAAAAGTGCTATTAGATTCCCCCTGGAATCTGCAGATAGTAAATACCTGAGAAGATAATGCAAAAAGTCCTTAGGCTCTTTGTTCTGAATTCCAGGTACACAACATCACTACAGTTCATGCACAAATAAAATGCACCATTAATATTGTCCCATATATATATTTATGTTCCTGTACTTCTTCAGCCTAAACACAAATTCCCTTAGTGCTTGAGGAAGCACCAGGCAAGGTCCAGGGGAAATGGAACTTTGAGGCAGAGTTTGCTGTGACTGTTTTGGTTTCCCT